TTGCGTCAGTTTCCTTTCCCCTTTGTTTCTCTGTAAACTGATATCTTCTTTTACATTATTTGGTCTTATATACCATTAGCGGCAATGCATGTTTAATTTTTACTTTGGAATAATTCTGGCCATATTGTCATTTGCTGAATTAAGCAATTATATGGACCTCTAATTTAATTCCCTAAAAATCTAGCTTTTGGTATTCAATGGTCGTCTGATAGGTATATTGTGATCTTTCATGTTTTCACCTTTCAAGGTTTGTTAGTCCTTTTAGGGGGTTAGGCTTGGGATAAATTTTCCATAATTCTTTACTGTCGGAAAATGTTAAAAGAATATCCAAAGATGGGATAGATTTGTAGTACGTTTTTGGGATAATGTCACAAATTGTTATCTAATTATAAAAATTACTTTCTGCTCCTTGCTGCTGGATTTATTAGGTTGTCATTTTATTGAATCTTCTTTGCTGCTAGATTTATTAGAATATCTTGAATATTAATATCAAAGTCATGAATTTCTGGAAGACCAAAACATTGTTATTTTATTATACTTCTTCTGTTGTAGCATGGAGAAGTCTTTTGAGATTGATCAAGTGAATAATGACAAAAATATAACTGGCGCTCTGAGCAAACGGTCTGAAGAAGTGAGTTATTTGCTTTAGCTCAGAATATTGTATGGTTATTACACAAAATGCAATGATTGGTATGCATGGCTTTTTAACTTTTACTTTATAAACCATTTAGATGTTGAGCTCAAATTCAGAGATGTGCGGAATTCATCAATGCGAGGAAGTGAATATGCTTCGGAAGGAGCTCAGCTTTCTGAGTAAAGAAAGAGAAGGTTTGTTGACTCGAATAAGAGAGTTGTCAGAACTTTCAAATGACCACCAGGTATGATCTCCATTCTGTTCTCTATGCACCAGGATATAATGGTCAGGGAGAGAAGTTAGCATTGAGGAAGGAACTAACATTATTTTTTCAGAACTTTTTCAGAATTTTTTTCCATTTGTTTGATTGATTGCATGTTGTCTACAGAGTCTGAACAACCAGCTCTGTGTTATGTCAAAGGAAAAGGATAAATTAGTGACTCAGATCGAAGAGCAGCAGAAACATGCAATTGAAGAAGAAAGTCTCAATAAACGTTACAATGACTTGGTAGGTCACTGAAAAGTCCTTGTTTTCTCATTGGCACCTAAATTGTTTGAGTCGTTTCAAATATTGATGAATTTACTAACAGTTAATGGAGGCAAAGTTTCAAGTGGAGGAACTGACAAGGAGAATTTCAAGCATGGAGCTTAAGATTCACAAAGTAAGCGCTTGTATACTTTCATTTGTTATGCAACGTCGTTTTCATCTTTCTGGGCATGACCAATAGATGCGCAGCTGCAGCTTCAACAATTGGGTTTGATAGGTTTTTGTTAAATAGCAGTTTGGATAATAAGATCCACGCTCTCCAAACGGTGTCAAAATTTCTGCCACAAAAGATAAAAAAGGAAGTAAAAAACTTTTCATCTGGAGTTGTCAGAATTCACAAATTTAGAAGTGTCCCAAGTAGTTGTTTCCTTTCAGAAAAGAATGAAAAAAAAAAAAAAAAAGACTGTCCCAAGTAATATTATCTTTCTTTTGTTTAGTCTTTAATTTGGCCTGGTATACTTCAAAACAGGATCAAGTTGAAAACGGCATAGAGAAGGCAAAGCTTCGAATGAGGCTTCGAGGGGCACAAGCAAGGTTAGATGCCTTTCGAAGTAGATATAAAGAAACACGGGACGAGTCCGATCACATGAACAGGAAGTTTGAGGAGGCTTCAAAAAACCTAAAGGAGCAGTTAGCGACAAAAGGAGTCGAGGTCCTCAGCCTCAAGAAGGAGCTTGCTGCAAAGGGGTTATGAACAAAAATTCATCAAGAAGTTGTAAAGCATGATTATTTGTGTCTTGTGTACTATTTAATGAAAATATATAAGTTAGTAGGAATGAGTGTCTTGTGCACAGCTATGAACCCTTGACCTTAATTTCTTATTTTGTTATTCACTGCAGTGTTCAGCCAACGATTTTTTACTTTTGTTTGTGATTCTTTTTTAATAATGTAGGCCAGGTAGTATAGTTACTGATAATCTCTTAATAATCCAGATGGACAACATGCCCAATTGCATTTTTAATTCTTGTGGTTGAGAACAAATCCCATAAATATGTCAACTGGACAAATGGAAAAATATGATGTGGCAACACGTGATGAACACTGCAAGGGTGAATATGCATTGATTTTCCTTTTAATGAAAGAACACGTATTGCTAGTTGGGGTGGGCTTCTCATCTAAATTATCCACATATCGATCGTATAGTACCGACGAGTTGGTTTTGTTTGGTTAAATAATTAATAATTAATTTTAATTATTTCAATCCGATTTGTACATAAATGTTTGATTTGGTTAATGGGTAATAATATCCCTAATTCAATGAAATCCATACCGATCTGATATTTATAATTATTTTATTTTTTAAATAATAATATACACATGTCAACTTACTAGTGGCCTATTAACTTGTAAAACTGGTGAAATGTGTTAATGCCGCCGGAATTTGTGACAGGTTATTTGAATTTTGAAAAAGCAAAGCTGTGATTGGCATGAAGTGAGGAAAGGGAATGATTTCCATTCTTGACTTATCCTGCGTTCACTTGCAATCAGGAATGAAAAAATAAGTGGGCCCTACCTCAAAATCCGTAATCACATCCCCTCAAAACTAGATTTCAGATTAACTAGTTGGGGGGGCGAGGTAGTAGATATGATTCCCATTCTTGTTTTCCCTTATTAACTTCCAAAAATACCTTTACCACTTTACCACAATTTCAAAACACCCTGCACCCTAAAAAAAAAAAAAAAAAAAACTCACGTCAAGAAGTTCAAAGATACCCCCCAACTTCTTTTTCAATGCATATATATATATATAAGTCCTCTTCTATTGAGGGATCCCTCAAATAATTTTATTTGAGGGACGCCCTTTAGGGTACCATACAATTTTTTTCCCAATGATCCAAACCATCTATTTTTTAGGTCTTCATTCATAGATCATCCTTACAAAAAATTAGACAAATCGGAAACCGTTTCGACATCCAATTGTGTCCTACAAATTCAATGAACACGGTTCTTCAAGAAAATACTAAAATTTCAATAAATCAATTGAATGGTCAAATGATATCGGATTCAAGTGATTTTTTGTAGAGATGATCTTTGAATGAGTATCTACAAAATAGACGGTTTGTGATGAAGAAAAAAAAGATATTTAATCTTATGGAGTATGTCTTACTGTGATTGTGATTGATGAGTAATGGGTGAATGACTTTTGTGGAGATTATATCTCTTTTTTTTGGTACTATGAAGATTATGTAGGTTATTATTATTTGATTGTTTACTATTTACATAAGTGAAAAATATATATATATTTATTGGAGTTTATTTTTTTGTTTGAAATTGGCTCTGGACAAAGGTGTTATTAACATTATCATTGAATTGGGTTGTTGCTATTTATCTTGTTGAACATATTAATTCCTCATGTTTACACAGCCTTACTGGTTTGGTCTCCTTAGCCAATTTAAAAATTATATATGTGTCGTGGTGAAAATGTGTAGGGCATTTTAGTAATCAAATTAATTTGGATTCTGATTCATGAAAATGAATAAACAATAACAATGAGAATCAACCCCATTCCTTTGTTAATTTCATATGTTTAGTAAATAGCTTAATGAGAATGATTCTTCCCATACCGATTTAGTACTTCCCCGATTCCTAAATTCTCTGATTCCTTACTTTCTCCATTATTGATATGTAAACATGCCCTAAATAAATACAAAGCTGTGATTGACATGAAGTCAATTGCACATTTGCTTTGTCATCATTGCCAGGTTTTGAAGCACATGAATCTTCTATAATAGACAATGTATATTCTTCAAATTTTTCGAGGTAAACAAAGAAGAAAGCCAGATGCATGATTACATTATAGAAAATGCACGGTTACCTTATAAACACAGAAATATGCATGATTTTGTGCCCACATTTGTGTTCTGTTGTATACGAAAGTTACTTTTGGATTCATATAAAGACATCACATATGATCCCAGGTAGCTCGCTCGCATTAATAAATTACAGCTTTGTATACTTTTATTTATTTTATTTTAATTTTATTTCATAAAGATATATGGTCAATTACACCAATCTCATCAACATCTCTCACAACAGAACATACCATGTCCTTGATATGGTAATAGATTTTTAGACAATATATAGTGTATATGTGTGTATTTTTCATAATATATAGTGTACATATATGGTAATCAGATATGGGTTGAGGATTACTAGGCCTCTTTTCTTAATATTATGTATTTTTCATGTTTGTTTGTAACTTTAAAACCAAGTTATTTGATTTGTACTTGAATGAATTAGACTATTGGATTTTTATATTTTACAAGGATAATTTGGTGTATTTGTTTAAGAACTTATGTTATGTGAAATTATTATAAATTGTATTTTTATTAGTATGTTTTTATTATTGTACTATCAGCCTACTGAATCAATCCGAACCGAATGTTAGGTTAACCGATTCGAAGTCTACTGAAGTTTTTGGTTTGATTAACGGAAGAGAAAATGATCAACCAGTTTGGTTAATGAAAGAGCCCTCTACCTTTTTGAACTGACCCTCGCTCAAGCCTAGGCTTCAGTAGTCTGCTCACCTTCTTGCGCTTGAGTTCGATTCCCTTCCTCGTATATTAGAATAGTTTAAAATATCATTTTGTACAGAAAAAAAAAACTAAAACATGAGTAATTACAACGGTGTATTGGAGTCCGATCATATGATATAACTTGTTTACGTGTTATAATATAAGGGAAGTGATTTTCCCACTCCCATTTTCTCCGCTTACACTCCTTTTTGCTTTTTAATACTTTCTAATCAATCTTTTTTTTTTTTTGTTTTTTCTTTTTCCTACTCTACCCTCCTATATTAAGATTTTGATAACTAAAATGAAGAAAAGTTAAATAAAACAAAAAACAAAAAAAACCCAAGCCCACCCATTAATCCCAACACTATTCCCATCCCAAGCAATCACCACCCCCGCCCCAAAACCCAGCTGCACTGGCCAACCTCCCCCATCCATCTAACCTCTCTCTCTCTCTCTCTCTCTCTCTCTTTCTCTCCCTCTCTCCTCTTTTACCTCTCTCTCATCCCTGT